GGCCTATGTGGCCGATCGAACGGCCAACATGGCCGAGGAAAATGAAGGTGAAGAGGCACGTTCAAAGAAAATTGATGAAAATAGCACGGCCACTTTGGCCAAAGAAAAAAAAAGAAAGGGAAAATAGATTTCGAGGTCAAAAAGGAAAAAAGAAAAACAAAAAAGAGGAGAAAAAGAGATAGACTTCGGAATCGAAAAGAATGAAGAAAAACAAAAAACAGAAAACCAAAGAGATCAAGGAATCTCGACCAAAAAAGAAAATAAAAAAAAAAGAAGGACAGGCAGGTCGAAAAATTGAAATTTCAAAAGAAAACAGAGATCAAGAATTGGAGTTGAAATTAGATTGTATTTTCGATGATTCGCCTCTGGGATTCGAAAGAGCCGCCAATGAAGAACATAAGCTAGAATCCCAAGACCCACTTGAAGAAATTAATCTGGGAACTGTCGAAAATAGGAGAGTCACTTATGTTAGCAAGTTCTTGCAAGGGGAGTTAAAGGAGGAAATAATTCGAGTACTGCATGAATATAAAGACTGCTTTGCTTGGGATTACAATGAAATGCCAGGAATAGACCGAGAATTGGTAGAACAGTCCTTTAAAATCCTAATCCAATACACCCCCCTAAGTGTTTGGTTATTTTAATAGAAGGAAGGAAAAGAGAGGAGAATGAAGATGAGAGACAAATTGTTGAATGTGTATCATCTCTTTATGGATTCTTTTTTGAGTAAGAGAGAGATACAGACAAAGTTGTAAAATGATTAAAAAAAAATTGGGATCAAAACTGCACCTGAAATATTTTAAATTTAGTTTTAGTTTTTTGATAATTTTTGAAGTATTTTAGTTCACATAGTATAAAAATATATCACTTTAGTCTTCAAAGTAATTTAGATAATATTTAAATATGGTTATAAAATGTCATTTAAATGACTTTAAAACCAAAAATGATATATCTGTAAATTAGTGAAATCAAAATAAAATAACAAAAATTTAAGTGACAAAAGAGGAAGGGAAGTATGAGAGTATGATTAATGTTATCATGGATCGAAGAGGACAAAGATAAAACAGAAGGGAGTGTGATGTGTGATAGGATTTGGAAAAGAGGAAAGAAGTCTTTATTATATAATTCATGCTCGATTAAATTACCTATTAGTCTAATTAATTATTTAATTAATAAAAAGTTGTTATAGAATAATAATAAGTTATTAAGGATTATAATAAGTATATTTTATTAATTTCTAATAGAGAAACTAATGAAATACTATTATGATAATAAAATAAATGATCTCTAATCTTGTCTAAAAAAGAATATTTATGATGTTTCATTATTTAGTAGACTTAAAAAATAATAGACTATAAAAATTTTCTCTATTTTTTTAAATATCTAAATACTCTTACATATTTAATTTGATAACAATGATTACAAGAAGTATATGTTTGCTATTATAAGCTATAGACTAAAGTTTTATTTTTCATATAAGGACAGAAGAAAATGAAAAAAAATGATTTAAACTTTTTTAAGTTATTAAATTAAAACACAATAATAAAAATAGAGTAAATTATGTTAATATTTCCTGAAATTTTGTGAAATTGCACAAATACCTGTTACATTTGTTACTCCTACAATAACCTTCCTTAATTGTTTAAAAAATATTTCATTAATATCTTTTATGCATTACTTTAACTTCTTTTTAATTATTTGAAAAAAATATATTGTAACCTCCTACAAGAAAATTTACTGTAAAACCTAAAAAAAAAGGGGAATGTTAATGTAATTTCGTAGAATTTAAAGAGATCTTAATGTAATTTACTCATAAAAATAATGTTAGCTAGGACTTCCCATTGTTCCGTAAAACACTAGATAATTTACTAGAGTTAAAAAACAAAAAAATGAAATTTAATCAAGGTTATTAAAACTTTCATCAAATAATTCCAATTAAATAACATTTGTTAGATACACAATTTGTTGTAGTGTATATTTATAATCTATATTTACTCTTCTATTTTCATGTAAATTTGGTCTTCTGATTATATATAGCACACACGAAGAGGGATGAATCCAAAGGGATGAAAGAAGGGGCCTTGAGAGATCACTTTTATCTTTTTGTAGGTCGCAAAAAAATAACAAGCTTAAGAACAACATCAAAAACATATTCTTAGTTAATTTTTAATTTTTATATCGAGAGATTGGTCAAAGTTTAATACGTATTTTATATCGATGAATTATATGAATAAAAAAAATAACATTCATAAATTAGATAAAAAGTATAACATATTTAACAATTATAATTTAATATTTATTTAAATTTATCATTAAACAAAATTCGACCTTCTTGATAAACTGCGCACACACAAAATTTAATTTAAAAATTTTGTGAGATTGTACAAATATCTTACTTTTTTTTTACTCCTATAATAATTATTTTATTTGTTTGAAAAACATTACACTAACATTTTTAAAACATTATATCAATCACCCTTAATTATTTGAAAAATATTAAATTATGCCTTATAAAAAAGATTATTTTAAATATTAAAAAAAATGTTAATGCAATTTTACAAAGCTTTATGAAGTATCAGCATTATTTACTTTTTTTTAACGACTTTTTATATTTTTCTTGAATATATTTTACAAGAAAATGCGTTTTTTTTCTTCTTCTGTTAAATAAACCAACTTGCAAGGGATATCACCTGTTCCTCTAATTTTCAAAATTAAAGTTTTTCTCACTTCCTTGGAATATCTCCTTTATAGATATTTATAGGAAGAAAAACAAATGAGTGAAAAACAAATGAGTTGATTGGTTGAGAAAAATTAGAGTCAATTCTTTAGATAATTTTTTTTTTATTTTGTGTTAGTATCAAATACAATTATCTATTTATTTCTATGCATATGCTATGGAAACCTTATACTTTAGGGTAGCTAGTTTTTTTTTTTTTTTTTTTTTTTTTTTTTTTTTTTTTTCTTTCTATTTCCTTCTTTTAATTGTCTTTCCCATTGATAATTTTTGATAAAATTTTTTTAAAAAAAACTTGCAAGGGGTTGCGTTTATTCGCAAATAGCTAGTTGTGTTTTGCTTGTTTTCTTGTTTTAGTCCTCTTTATTGTCCACGTACCAAAAATATCTATATGAATTTCGGCTTGTGTTGGGTTCATAATTTGACGGCAATCTGATTGTTCTGTTTTAACAACTGTAGTAAAACCTATTGAGTAAGATCATACAAATTACAAAAGTAGAAAGGATAGAGACAAAACAGAAAAATATCAATTTTTTTGAAAAGAAAAATAAAGAGAAAGCTTTCTTTACGTATAAAATACTTTCTCATAAATTAGAGTAAAAGGAGACCAAGAGGGTAAGAAGAATCCTTGTTTACTTTCTTGAATTTTTTTTAAAAAATTATAACATAAAAAATATAATAATACATACTTGTATGTTAAGAAAAAAATATTTAATAAAAGTTAAATAGTTTAGTTAAATTTAATTATTAATCAATATAATAGCTATAAAAAATCTTGATTTTATTGGGTACAGGCAGTACTCTGTATTCGACCAATACTTGGCCCCCTTATTTTGTCATCTAGACGATCCTCTACTTTAAACATGTGAAATTGTGAATGCCGCTCAATATGTCAGAAGTATTTTTTATTGGTTCATGATTTATATACCTCTTTTTTTTTTTAAATTATAAAATATTGTAGTTTTTTTAATTTTTTAATTTTACACTTCTAATTTTTAATTTTTCTTTTTTTTTTTCTTTCACACATTTTTTTTTCTTTTTTAATTTTCACATGCTATCAAAATAGGTAAAGTGAAGGAAAAATAAGGAAGTACATGTAAAAATTTAAAAAAAGAGGAAAAATACGTAAAAAAAATACTAAATTAAATGTTATAGATGTAAAATTAAAAATTAAAAATATAAAAAATTAAAAAGTTAAAAATATTATAAAAATTTAATTATTATTTAAAAAAGAAAGAGGTGTACTTATAAAAAAAACAGAAGTGTATATATCATGAACCTTTTTTATATGCTTCCGAAAGTTATAAAAAGAGAGAGAGATTTGGGCCTTTGCAGTGCTATGTCTCCCGTTGTAGTGTTTGACGAAATATCAAATCTCACCTATTTTGTCAGGCCTACAATCTTAATTCCTTGGCTCATGATATATTCACCTCCTTTTTTTTATAAGTATATATCTTTTTAAAAAAAAATAATTTTTTTAAAAAATTTAATTTTACACTTTTAACTTTCAATTTGTTACTTTCTTCTTTTTATTCACATTGTTTTTTCTTTTTTAATTTTTACATGTTACCAAAATAGGTGAAGTGAAGGAAAAATAAGAGGGTGCATGTAAAAATTAAAAAAAAGAAGAAAGATATGTGAAAAAAAAGTACTAAATTAAATATTGTAAATATAAAATTAAAAAATTTAAAAGAAAAAATTAAAAAAAATTAATTTTTTTTAAAAATTTAATTATTTTTTTTAAAAGGAGGTGTACTTATAGAAAAAAGGAGGTGTATATATCATGAACCAATTCCTTCACTGTTTCTCCCCATTTTGGGCTGGGCGTATGTGTTTGGGCCTTCATAACTTAACGGGCCTAAATTGGGCATTTTGGTTTCGTAGTGGAATTCATTATTCCATTTTGGTAGATTTGCCTCCTATTGAGGGTGAGAAAATGAGCAATCAACGCATGCTAAAGTTGCTTCTCGCATTGTAGTGACAAAGATTCTCTCAGAGACAACCACACAAAGCCCCTTATGGAATCAGAACGCTCCTAGTCAATAGCGACTTTTTGAGCCTTTCTTCCCTCTAGAGTCAGTGGTTGGGTCCCAAACCTCAGCATGCTTCTTCTTTGTGGAAAGTAACCATCATTGGACTTGGTGCTTGCTATATTTACATCTATAATCACCTCTAAATGAAAGCAACAAGACCTAAAACAGATCATCACCCCATTGGTCCTTCCATATCTCAAAACTTGTCTACATTGTCCTTTTGTCTAAAAGTGTTGATGGGATCAAACGATTTCATCTGGGTGCTGCTTCTCTCCTTGTGTTGCTGCTCCTGGGTGCACAGCCTCGACAACACTGCTACAAGTGGATCATTGAATTCCTTGGTTCAAGATTTTGCTTTCAGGTCACTGGTCAAACACAGGCCTCCAACTGGTGCTCTGTATGATGCTCTTCTTCCAAGGAACCTGTCTGGTATGGCTGTTTCAGTAGTGCGTCTCAGAAGCAGAAGGCTCTGGAACAAAGGTGCGAACTTTAGCTACTTCAAGATTCCACCAAGAACCATGTCCATTCCCCATGTTAGGAGGTTGGCTATTGTGTACCAAAACTTGGGCAATTGGTCTTCCCACTACTACAATTTGCCAGGTTACTCGCTCATCTCTTCTGTCGTTGGCTTCATGGTTTTTGATGCTTCAAATGTAACTAACACAAGCGTGAGAAACCTCACTCTCAACACAATGGGGCAGCCCATATCTATTCAATTCCCCAACACTACATTTATGGGTAGTGGTAGTATCAAATCAAGGGTGAGATGTGTAACTTTCAATGCCAATGGAACATTTCAACTTACTGATATGGGTTCCCCTGGGGTGTGTTACTCAAGAGATCAGGGCCACTTTTCAGTTGTGATTCCAATGGAGAAGAACCGGGGACCATGGTATCTATGGGTGATTGGCTCTGTGGTTGGATTTTTTGGGTTGATTATAATTGGCTATGCGGGATTTTCTTCCATGAGACTTCTCAAGAGCAAGAGGATTCAAGCCATGGAAAAGCAAGCTAATGAAGATCAGGTTCTTGAAAGTAGATGGGTTGGCAATAGTAAAATGCCGTCAGCAGCAGTGACAAGAACTCAGCCAGTTATTGAGAGTGGTGTTCTTTAGTGCCCTGCATTTTTTCACCCAATTGCCCTTGTTACTTTGCTAATACACTTTTGTCAGTGTTTGTATAACAAACAAGGTTCGTCCATTCTATGCAATGAACAAAGCATGTGTATTCTGACCATAAATGAAGGAATAGTTTTGTAGATAAATATTTCAAGAATGAAAATTCTTTTTAGTCTCTTAATTCCTCTTGTATGGAATATGTTCTATCATGTTGAAGAAAGTTTAACTCGTAATCACCTTTCTCAATGGCACGGTGCAATTTGCATTTGTTAATTAGTCTCGCACAACTGTAAAGTGTAGCATTAAATTTAATAAACTGAGGCGGAAAAAAGGAGCGTAGACTCCAAAAGAAACAATGTCAGAAAAGCATTCCTG